GTCGCTTCCCCCCTCTCTCTTTCTCTCTCTTCAAGTGAAATGTTAGGAAAAATTTTCAAAAATTCATCTTCGACCAAATTCATTAATCAAGATTTTCAGAACAGATGCTTACTTACGTGGGTACAAGAGATCTCCTCGCTGTCTTCTGCAATCGCGACGTTTGTAATCAGCGTCGTCGTCGCGTACGAAGCATAAAAAAGAATCTTCAACCAAAGAGAAGCAAAGTCTTTGGATACAAGGATGCGAATAGTACCACCGAGGGTCGTGCTTGACGAAACCAGGAGAACCCAAGTGGGAAAAGAAACAAGAAAAGTATAGGGGGTTGGAGTAGTGATAAAAATAAAATCGAATGAGAGAAAGTGAGAATGGCTACGGCTGGCAATTATTAAAATTCGTAAAATCGTCCCAACGTCCTTGTCGACGTCACGTATAGCGACGACTTTGCGCGGGGCGCGAATGAAGGAGAGAAAATGAAGACACTTAAAAGCCCGTGTCAGCACGACAATAACACTTTTTATTCTCCTATAGTCATTCCGCGCCGGCTGCGCGTGTCAGCCAATAAAATTTCTCGCAAACTACTAAAAACACCATATGTACATCGGCCAACCCAAAACACTCGGATCGTCGAAGAAGCATGCGCGCTCGTTATCGCAACTCCGCCGTAGTTATCATAGTCGGAGAGAGTTACGCGGGGAGAGAGGGTTTTCTCACTGATAAGAAAAAAAAAGAACAAGCATGTTCGAATTTATTTTCCGTGTTTTTTTTTCGCTCATCTGTGTTTTTTTTGGTTTTTTCTTCATCTTCGAAATTTTTTTTTTCATATTCATAGCGAGATTTTATTCAGGATAGCTCACAAGATTTTCGAGTCGAGCAGATTAAATTTTTGGAAAATTCATTCGAGATAACGTTCTCCTTATGCACGTGTAATTTCAGATTTTGTAATGTTGCTATCGATGCGAATACACTCTCTCGTCGCGTTTGCTCGCGGCTGACTTTCGCGCACATCGAAAAAGATTTTTATCGCAAAAAATGCGGAAGAACATTTGTTATCATCAATAATTTCCATTTATATGCTTAATCATAATAATTATAATATTACAAGTGATTTCCGTTACGTGCTACGTTTAAATTTACTTCATCTTTTTTTGTTTGTACAATTAAAACAATACAATGGTAATGAATAATAATTAATATTTATAGTCAATAATTTATATAAAAACATTCATACGGATCTTAGCACGACCCCTAGCCTCTCTCACGTAAATTCTTTCTCTCTCTCTCTCTCTCTCTCTCTCTCTCTCTCTCTCTCTCTCTCTCTCTCTCGCTCCTCACTCTTTCCCTCTCGCTCTTGCACTCTCATTTTATACACATGTAAATTTGATTTTCAACACGTTTCCCTTTCTCTCTTTCCTCTTTAGCAATTTACTCTCTCACTCATCACGCCATTTACACACATTCACAGTCACTCAATCGTACCGCATTTTTGCCACACGTTTCTGTAATATTTTCGTCTTCGTACTTCAACGTGCTAAAACTCCATTGACCAACAAAAATACCTAGACATACACACATCTCCGTTAACATGTAAAGCGTCTTGTATAACTGGATCGCGTTAGCGTTTGCGAAAAAAATTCGCACCACTTGCCAAATTCACCGCGAGAAAGCTCCACGGCGCATATAAGTATACACATGATGGGGTGTAAGAAGACCGAAGAGAAATTGGCATGTAGAGTAAGAAGAGTATACGAGGATTGAATTAGCAATATAAAAATAAAGAAATGTCAGGCAGGTAGTAAATCAGAAGAATGAAAGAAGAAAGAAAGCAGGTTTTGGGATATTATACATGTTTTCATCGATTCGCGAAATATTCGCGTTTCTCCTTTTTCTTTTCCAAAAAATCCCAAAAACACCGAGAAATCTCAATCATCCCCTATATATTTTTCCCTCCATTTCTGACACACACATAGACGAACATCATCTAAAAAACACTTACGCGTATACTCGTACCGTAATACGCGATCGCACCTACTTTTTCATCGATTCCCTAAAGACCCGGCAAGTATTTTTTGATGTCTTTAGGCCCGCCTACCGGCGAAGATTAGGCAATGGGTCTACCACTTTGCCACCCTGACTTCAACATTAATTTTGATCTTTTATATATACGTCCTCGCAGTGTTATCTATACACTCTAAACCATTAAAATAAAAATCCTTAGGGCGCACTCGTTATACCATTGATCCGTGCGATCGGCATTTGTCGCGAAACCCTTAATACGTGGATATGCCTTAAGGGTGTCAACTTGGTACAAAGGCTGTCTCTATATCATAGCACGGGATACGCATATACATAGGCAGATACATACGATAGCTAGAATCCATATAGAAAAAGAGTGGTCGGTCGATATAGCGAATGGAAGCAGTTTACGTAGGAAAAATAGAAACGGATTAGCAAGTAAGGGGTACATGTAGGGGACGAGTGACAACAGGGTGGGACTTGGACACAGTCACTGAATCAACTTCCGGCGAACAGTCCCAAGAATGCCGTCGAGTTGGTTTTCCTTGTAATCGATAAGGTCCAAGAGTGAGCTTGTAACGATAGCGACTATTCTCTTGCTCTTTCTTTCTCTTTAATGGAAACGACCAAACAGCCAAAGTCCTTATGGGGTAAGTAACGCAGGATATCCAAGGACGTAGCGTTGAGGAACGAAATATATCTATATATATGATTCGAAGGAACGCGTAAGAAAGAATTTCTAGGGGACGAACGAGAGAAGCGAGCAAGTGGAAGAATAAATAAAGAGAAGCAGTATGATAGTGAGTCATGCGTTTATGAGCCACATGAGCCGTGAGTCTTTTTAATAGAGAATTGCACATTTTTTTGCAAAAAGCAGAAATAATGAGTCGCGCGGAACCGTCTCGCGATTTCAAAAGGTCGATTATTCATGGGAAGCGTATTTCATTCGATTTTACTTTTTTTTTTTTTTACTTTCTTTTACTCGCAACCTCGTTATTTTTCGTCGCTTTTTCTTTTTCTTGCAAGCGCACGCGCATGCGTATACGTGCAGGCACACGCCCGGACTCTCTCTCTCTCTCTCTCTCTCTCTCTCTCTCTCTCTCTCTCTCTCTCTGTCTCTTTCTCTCTTTCTCTCTATTGCATTCATACGATCAGCGGCGAGCAACGCCAAAAAGCTGCAGTTTACAAGACGTTGCCCCGTTTATGTGTTCGTTATTTTTTTTTCTCATAGTACAAAATACACATGCTTAAATTTCACGACTCGTATAATCACACGTAATCACATTATCATATGTATATTCACAATTATACAAATAGAGATATACAACGAGGTACAGAATTCTGGAAAAGTGTCCTCTCTCTCTCTCTCTCTCTCTCTCTCTCTCTCTCTCTCTCTCTCTCTCTCCCTCTCTCTCTCTCTCTCTACAAAATACACATGCTTAAATTTCACGACTCGTATAATCACACGTAATCACATTATCATATGTATATTCACAATTATACAAATAGAGATATACAACGAGGTACAGAATTCTGGAAAAGTGCTCTCTCTCTCTCTCTCTCTCTCTCTCTCTCTCTCTCTCTCTCTCTCTCTCCCTCTCTTTCTCTCTCGTCAACGATTCTTCTGTTTCCCTGAACAAGGACACTGTCTCTCTCATACTTCTGTATACAGATTGACCTTTCAACTTTATCTCTCTCTCTCTCTCTCTCTCTCTCTTTGCTTTACACACGGAGTCGTCTCGCGGTGCGATCGCTCCCTCTCTCTCTCTCTCTCATCCTACGTACATTCTCAATAATTCATTTATCTTGCCAATTCCTATTCGCCACTTTACGTTACTTCCCTGCATTCCCTTACTTAGAAAATATGTAAAGGAAACGGTTAATAATCGATAGTAATGATGGGCTAGAACGTAGAGCACTGTCGCATGCCTGTATAAAATCCCTAAAAATCTTTAGCCTACGATGAATTGTGCTTCCGATGACTCTGATGACTATACGTGACTGACTTCCGGTTCGCGGGCAATACAATTTCGAGCATCGTCACCACAATGAAAACGAAGAGTCATATCGCCATGGAAAATCTCATCCACATTTTTAACCATCGTTTCTCTCCCTATTCGTTCCCAATCTCCCTATTCATGTCGAATCTCCCCCCCAATTCCTCGTGACGTATGCTGCAATCTAATTGCGCGCATCGATTAGGCCTCGAGGTAATAACGATGTCCGTCAACTTTTCCTTTTTCATCCGATCGAACAGCGCTCTCCTGTGTCTCTGTCTATTTCCTCGTTAATTACGGATCGCTCCTTGCGAACAGGAATTAATTACCTCATACCCACTATTAACGTATATCTTTTTGTTTCGCTCTGTACTACATTTTTTCCCCCACTTTTTATTCTCTTCCACGTTTACCTTTTCCCGCTAAGGTTTCTACAGGAGCGCCTATACACGTGCCTTTGGTGTACAGGGTCATTCAAGAGTACCGTACCACATGAAGTTTCGTCTATTTGGCATGTAGGGCAGAGTACCGTATTGCGATACAATACTCACGAGTCACCCTGTATAGTGCCTGTGGATACGCATACCCGTAAAATAATTTCATATCAATCCTATCGACCAATCGATCTAAGATCGATTAATTGGATCGACAGTATTACCTGTTCATCGGAATCGAGATGTAAATCGCGTAGGATGGTACGCCTTAATAAATTTTGTGTGTTGCGTGTATCTCAGGCCCTTTTTTCGAAAAGTTCCCTGGGTCCAGTGTAGATCGAGGATGAATGTGATTTGGCGATGTTTTCCTTTTTCTTTTTTTTTTGGCTTTTTCTTTTAAACTGGAAATGGAGCAAGGTACAAGGGGCTTAGGAGGGGGATATCGCGGAGGAGGACAAAGTGGATTTTGAGTATACGTGCGTGCGTGTGCATACGTGAGATAGACACGGGAAGGACGGACGCCATTTAATACACTGCGCCCTTGATTCATCTTCTTTTTTTTTTTCACTTTACTTAACTCGTTGCACGATTTTTACAAGTCTTTAAATGCCAAAGGTCACTTTTTAAAAATATAGGTATTTCATTTTTTTTTTCTTTTTTTCCCCCTTAAGCTTCGCATCCTCCTTTTTCGCTTTTTAATCTTACCTCACAGAACCATCGTATCTTTATTAGTACTTTACGTTTTGTTATTATTTCATTTCGTTTCCCTCTTACGCTTTATCATCCCCTCGTTTATCGCTTTCATTTTTGTTTTCTTCTTTACCTCGCTATCTCTCTTATTCGGACACTCTTTCTCTCCCTCACTCTCGCTGGCTTTCACGCTCTCTCTCTCTCTCTCTCTCTCTCTCTCTCTCACTCTTTAATTACTTTTGTTAATCTCTTTTTAACACAGAGCTCTTCTAAAAATAATATTAGGTTTATCAGTTCGGTTGTAATATTTCAATCGTATCCACAACGCGCACATCTTGCGATAGCGTCGACTTGTACAAGTCAAATGTAAAAAAGAAAAAAAAGAAAAAAAAAATGAAAACTCGTGCACCAGAAAGAACCAAGGGAAAACGTTGAAACAAAATGAGAGAGGACTTTTACAGAGAAGAAAATTCCGCGTTTCACCTTTATTTTCGACAGGGTGCACCACAGTTTCGGTACAGTCAACCCTTGTTTTCGAAAACGACACGTAAAACGGGAACGGTGCTTTGCCAGCCTGAGAAAACGGTCTCTAGGGTTTACCAGCTGTCGTGCAAAATCGTTCTGACTAAAGTTCCCGATAACTACACTCGGCGAGCGTTACAAGCAAAAAGGGTAAACTGAAATAAGAAGGATAAAAGAAAAAAAAGTAAAAGTGAGAAAAGGAAATAAGCACTTTTCGTCTCGAGGGCGCGATAATAAATTTAGCCAATGACAATGAAACGGTACAAGTACGGTTCACGTGTTTCCCTTTTTCGTTCCGGAACGGAATACAATTTTTAGTTCGAAGCTGACAAACGAGCGAGAGAGAAGAGAGATAGACTAATGATAATAATAATAATAACGATAATGATAATAATAATAAAAATAAAATAATCGTCACTATCACACGGTGCGCATTGCATTACGGCCAATTAATACTTCTCGTAACGTATAAATGTAAATTGGTGATTGGTAATATTTTTCACTCCCTTAAACGTTTGACTCGCGGCTGTGTACGTTTATCTGTATCTCTTATCATTCTCATTGTCGTTCCTTGTTGCTGTCTTTTGTTTTTTTTTTTTTAAATCCGACATCTTATATGGGCCACGTGTTATTGGGGGTAGCAACCAGCATCACACAGTCGCTACAGCGTGTTCTTAATGGCTGTTCTATTTCTCATCTATTTTTGACTCTTCAATTTTACTCCTTTGCCTCTAATTCGCAACAGACACGTGTCACTGTACAGTTTCGATCGAGCGATGTTTGCGTCGTATCTGTTATACAGTGTTATCCTGTCAGGAGTGTATCCATGTGCAGTTGGATCTTTATTATTTTTTTGTGTGTCGGGCTGTGTAAATGTATTACGCGTCGTTTACCTAAAAATCGTTTATCGTTTACTTTACAGTTACTATACAACATGACTGAAAATACCTTAGACCACGATAATACAATGACAATTGTATCGGTTGCTCTTCTTTTTTTTTTTTTCTTTTTCGTTTACCACTTTAGTGTTTTCCATCTTATTGTACGCGAGTATCATAAACATTTATTATAGTTATCATACCTCGTACAACGATACGCCGGCTAGACTCTTTATATCGTTTAGATGCTTATGCCTCTACCTATCTAAACCATCTATCGCGGGACCTAGCCTATCTAAATATCTATCTCGTTAGATCTTTAGCCTATGTTTTTACTTAAAGGTATCGCAACTATTCAATTACATTGTTATCCCTTTGAAACGATGCGCTTTCTTTCTTTTTTTTTTAAATTTCGTTCTCTGGGTATTTATAATGGCGGCGTGTCGCGGGTAGGCGATAACCTTGACGATACTTCGTTGCGAATTCTAATCCTTGCTTTGGAACTTTCTTTTTTTTTAATTCCTAAAGAAATTATGATCCGTGCTGCGAAGTTGGAATGGCTCTTTTTTTTGTTAAATTAAATTTTTGTTTTCACAATTTAATTTACTCGCTGAGTGAGTATTGCTTTCGCTGGGATTACGGATATACGATGGACGAAGAAATATTGTCGGTCGGGGTAAATTCATTTAGTTGACGAATTTATCTCGGGGAATTCGTTGAATCGTGCGAAATACGTGGGAGTGTACCAATGTAGGAGCGAGGAAGGAGAAGTGAAAAGTTAACGAGGAGATAAGAGTAAAGGAGGAAGGAGAAGAATTCGCAGGAAGCCAGACACGTGCTGACGCCTCATCGACGATGGGATAACTCATCGATTTTTTAATATGGCTATCAAAAAACATCCGGCTTACGGTTTAATTACCTAAAATTGTAAATACTCTAATTAATGTTGAACGTGGTAACAAATAATGAAACATCGAAAAAAGAAAATTGCACGATATACAAACTTAGAGTTTTCTCGTTTCGGTGTGTCACCGATTTTTTTACTTTTTCATTCTTTCATTCATTCTCTCTCTCTCTCCTCATTCTCTCTCCATTCGCACGTATCGCCTATCATTTGCACCCTGAGTCACTTTCATCCCCCTGGCATTCACCCTCGCTCATACCGCTAATAGGTACAATTACGTGCTACGTGTGTATCAATTATAATTTATTTGGCCACTGAACATTTAAAATTTAGTATTTTCGTTTCTTCTGCTTCAGGTAAGGTTAGTCTTTTTCATAAAAGGTTACTTTTTACGTTTCCCCTTTCTCTCCCTTTCGCTCCCTCCCCCCGCTACACTTTCCGTTTTTGAACGAGTCTGCCCGGAGACGCGACTACTTACCATTGCGTTCACGTCATTGTCCCCGTCTACGTTTGCATATTCGTCCATCTGACGTCATAACAAATTAACTACCCGCAATCGTCCTGGCATCAAGTAAACGATCGGCAATTCGACGAACGAAAAGATTCCACGATTACGCAAACTGGCCCCAGAGTGAGTCAATATCTCGTTCAAGATTTTCCACGACCTTTTTTCATTTCCGCATTAAATAATATTTTCTCTTACAGTCTGCCTCGGTCCATCCTCAGCATCCCATAGTCGATCCCCCCTCCTGCCGTTCCTTCGATCTTTCACCAACTATGCACACGTTCGCCCTCGGCCACTCTTCGCCCGGAGACCGGGTCGTCCGTTGCAGTCTCGCGCTCCCCATTTCACCCTTTTACGTTGGATTACATTGCGTTAGAGTAATGACATTGACGTACCTGCTCTCGCTTCCTTTGTAGCGTCTACGCGGACCCAAGATCGATTTTCTCCAGGGACGCAAATTAGCTCCACCGTCGTCGTGGTCTTCTTCCACGAGGACGACGTCGACGCTGTGCATAGAGGCTGGCTGAACGTGCCTCACGGAGAATCGTTATCGCGAGGAGGGAATTATTTTTTGGATTCTTTCTTTTCCTTATTTTTCTACCTTTTCTTACAGGGTGGCTGTAAAAAATCGCTCAGGCGACGAGCGAGCCACGGTTTCGTTTTAATTAGACACAGGGGTGGGACAGGGAGGCTGCTGGCTGATATAGAGGGTGCGCAGGAACCCTTAAACTGTCGGCCATAGTTTTCCCCTTTAGGTTAGGGCTGATCTCCCAAGCTACGGTTAAAAGTCGTGGCTTTCTTTACCGGAAGTTACGCGTCCACTCGCAGGACACACGCGCACGCACTCGATATCCCACATGCACACGGGATTTGGCACCACGGATATTATTGTTCCCTCGTAAGCGGGGGGTAGTTTCGCAAAGGTAAATCCAAGCCGGAGTTTCGATACCGATTCACCCTCTGTCGTTTTACTATCTCTGTTCATTCTCTAAGGCTCATCTCCCCTCTCTCTCTCTCTCATTCATTTTTCTCGTATCTTTCACTCATCCAGACACTTCGCTGCTTTCGTAAGCATCGACGAGTTCTCGAGCCGTGCGATTTTTCGTCTCTACGGCAGAAACGACTTCCCGGTGAACGGTGAAGGATCCTTCAAAGTATCATCTCCTATTTCTCTCTCTGTTACCATCTGTGTACTCTCAGTCTCTCGCGGTTCGTTCGTACGATCGTTCGCTCTCTTTCTACCTCTCGCACGCATGTAACACTCGCTCTCACTTTCATTCTCGCGTTCTCTAACGGTCTCACCCATTTTCCCATTCTCTTTCGATTCCCATTAATATCTTCTTTTTCTTTTTCATCCCTTATTTCCCCCATTTCTCTCACACTAACTCCGCGTGCACTTGCCGTTTGGTAATTTCAGCAAACTGCTCTCGGTTCTCGACGACGACGGCGCAGACTTTAACATAGTTATTGGCAGTGATTGACGTTTCAGTTAAAACTTGTATCTCGTTTACATTAAATTTAATATTCGTAAGTGCGTGCGATTCATCTTAGACTTTCTATGTATCTTTAATTATTTAGGGCTAACGGCGATGCGTACATACTTTGCGTTGTATTAATTATTGTTCAGCTGTTCGTGCTCGAAGGCGTGTCTTGTTCGAACTGCGCGTAATGTCCAGTACCGGGTCCAGGTAGCTCACACTCGATCGGATTAATGTATCCCGAGTACCGAAGTTTTTTATCAGTAAGAAATCCCGAAATGGATTTCCCGAGGGAATGAAAAGATAGCATGAAAAATAAATGTGCCAGGTTGGGACATTCGTCACGATAAATTGAGCTTCGAGGACTCGAGGCAAATATATTTATCTTCTCTCTCTCTCTCTCTCTCTCTCTCTCTCTCTCTCTCTCTCTCTCTCTCTCTCTCTCTCTCTCTCTC